AAGGGAGTCCATGAGCTATAACTTGTGTATACCTATAATTGGAGTTTGAGGAATTTCTACCAGATTCTTTGAGTCCTCCAGCCTCCACTCATAGTACTTCTAGTGATGGGGAGGTTGGCTGGAGCTAACAAGGCCGTCTGATACTTCTTTCATTGTTATACAGTTTTTTGTTAGAGTGATCCAAGTGGTTTTTCTTATAACTTCATAAGCCATAGGTCTCAGTTGGTATAAGACTAACCCAAAGACACCAAATACTTGACATTCTTGTAGTCACTGCCCCTCCCCAAATCTCTAGCAGGCATACATAATTGATCACAGTAGTTTTTCCTGGTCAGGGCACTTAGTCTCAGACTCATCCTCAGCACTGGCTCCTGGCAGTCACTACCAATTGATTAAAAGTCACTCAAGAAAGGAAATCCATTTGCCATCCCAGTCAGATCCCTTTTCTATTAGATGATGTATCATCTTGAAAAAGAAATCATTCTGTACCCTGTTCCCTCACCGCCCCCAACAAGGCCTCCCCACCCCCACACACCCCACCAAGTAAACATCCTCAGTTCCTTCAGTTTCTGAGCTTGTTTCCAGAATATTCCAGAAAAAGCCTAGATCTTGCCCTTCCCTGCAACACACACAGTTCAGAGTTATTGATCCTTTCAAAATGATGCCCTAAGATGTTATTAGTGAAGAGGCTATTGAAACTTTTCTCAGTGCAGCCTTAAGCTGTTTGCACCACTGTAGCAGACTGCCACTTCTTGCTGAGCTCACAAATGTTCAACTGTGGGGCCTTTAGAGGTGAACTCCATATGAACTAGATTTTCCTCATCCTCTTGTTATGCAGTTGTTTTTTTGTTTTTTTAAAGACCAGGTATAGGGCTTTCTTTTTCTTTCTCTTAGGATCTCTCTGGGGAATTCAACCTAATCTAGTAATGGGCATCTTTTTTGAGCCCTAATTTTTGTCCTCTAATGAATTAGTTGCCCTTCCCCTAGTACTGAGGCTAGTTAATCCTACCATGCCTTTGGTTTCCACATTCCAGCAGCATCTTACTTGACATTGTCCAATATGCAAGCTTCCATTCATCTGCAAGCTTCTGGCACCTATTCTTGTACCAGACTCTCTATTCAGTTTGGGGTCTAATTTTTTTTAATCATTCTATTGGGGGCTCTTATAGTTCTTATAATATTGCATACATCACTTGTATCAAGCATATTTGTACATATGTTGCCATCATTTCTAAACAATGACTTTATATTTGAGCCCTTGGTATCAGCTTTTTTCCCCCTACCTCCCCTACCCTCCCACCCTTGTGACCCCTTGGTAAATTATAAAGTATTAGTGTTTTCATAACTTATACCAACCGCTGTCTCCCTTCACCCACATTTCTGTGGTTCATCCCCCTGGGGATGGGGGAGGTGGGCGCTACATTTTGAAACAGTTGCAGCCTCCTGCTCTTTTCTATACTGCTCCACTCGCCACCACCTTTTCTACTGTGCCTGGAAGACCATGTCTCATGAGAAACAACCTCCCGTTTGGCCCCAGTCTCTTCATGCTCCCTCCTGGTGTATGTCCCTCCTTTTTAGTCCAACGTACAGGTTTTTCAGCTGCCACGTCAGTTTTTGTTTGCTACTGTCGCTGTACCAAGTGATTGCAAAATGAATGCTTGCAGTAGCCCGCATTCCCCATCCCAGTCCTCACTGATGGCTTTACAGGTCTGTGTCCAAGAAGGGCAGCACGGTCTCCCTGGGCTGAACAAGGTCAGCAGGGTTGTGTTCTTTTCTGGGAGTTCTAGAGGAGAACTCTTTGTACAACAAATATTTTATTGCATTTTTTGGTGAAAATGTACACAGCGGCTCACACTCCGGTGCTGCCTACGTTCTCCACCGCCTCACTCTTTTCAGTTCGTCTCACTGTGCCCGTCTCACTCACCTAGTGCTGCTCGAACTAAATTCCACCAGTGACTGGTGCCAGCAAACACACTCATTTTCTCACAATTCCATAGCTAGAAGTCTAATTTCAGGGCTTTCTGGAGGAAGTCAGTCTCCTCAATCCCTCTTTCTCTTGTTCCCTGGCAATCGCCCTGTATCTTGGTATCTATCTTTCCCATCCCTCTCCGTGCCCACTTGTTCAATCTCTTATAACACAAAAGAAGTCCAATCAAGATACAAAAACAAACAACTCACTGCCACCGAGTGGGTTCTGACTCATAGTGACCCTACAGGACAGGGTAGAACTGCCCCTGAGGGTTTGTTTCTGAGACTGTCACTCTTTATAAGAGTA